AGACACTTCTACAAGCCGATGCTCCGGCGTGGCTACAGCAAGTTGGTTGCCAGGACTGGGGTGTTCCTGGCCTCAGCCTTCTTCCATGAGGTCAGTGCTTTTGGGCGTCTTGCCTCAGGCCTGAAGCTGGGGTGGCTGTGGCCAAGGAGCTAGGTGACACCCCTTTCTCCCACCCACCCAGTACCTGGTGAGCATCCCTCTGCGCATGTTCCGTCTCTGGGCGTTTACCGGCATGATGGCTCAGGTGAGCACCCTGTGGCCTCACCCTTTTATGTGTACCTGGGGCAGACAGCCCTGTGGTCATCATGGGCAGCTGATTGTGTACCCCCTTGCCCCCAGATCCCGCTGGCCTGGATAGTGAGCCGTTTCTTCCGTGGCAACTATGGCAACGCAGCTGTGTGGCTGACGCTCATCATCGGGCAGCCAGTGGCTGTGCTCATGTATGTCCACGACTACTACGTGCTTCATCATGAGGCCCTGTCGGCAGGGGCCTGAGCTACTTAGCCCACACTCCTCACTGCCACCTCACCTGCCTCACTGCCCATGGCGAGTTCACCCCTGCCTGTGTGCTGGGGAGGGGGCTGGCTGCCCATTGCCTCCTCCTGGCCCTTGGGAGGCCTCTCCGCCCCTATGGGGCTCCTTCTGCCCTTCAGGAATGGGAGACCCAGCACAGGCCAGTTCCCCAAGAATCTGTGCTGATCTTGTCCGAGGGTGTCAATAAAGGACTGTCCAGAGTGACCTTGGCCTACTGAGGGTGCTGGGCTGGTGGGAGGTGATAGCCCCCATACCACATGGTCCAACAGTGCTATGGGAAGCAGCTGCTCTAGGGGCTCAGAAAAGGGCCCTCTTAGGCTTTGCTGTGGTGCTCTTGGGATGGGAAACAGTCCCACAGGCCTCCCTGGAGCCCATGCCCTGGGAGAACAGTGCCCTTGGGTGGGGGTGTGAGGGGCTGTGTTGGGAGTCAGGCAGACCCTACCAGATATCATGGGTAGCAACTCTCATTGCCTAAAAAGGCTCAGCTAAGGTCAGACTTCTTGTCTGGCCACCTCCCATTAATCCTATATGGGGGTGTGTGGCTCAGAAATAGGTGCCTAGTCTTCCTAGAAGCAGACCTTGGCTTGGGCAGGGGTTGGAGGCTAGGGCAGGTTAGAGGGTCAAGTATCAACACCAATCCTTGCCTGGGGTCTCCCTCTCATTAGTGGATACATCCAGAGAGAGGCAGGGGCATGGGTGCCTCTGGAGCAACTGTCTATACTGACCTGAGTGGGAGACCCTGGGGCTGGGTAGTTCCCATGGTGCAGCCCTCAGGATGCTGTTCCCAGACTCTGCCACCTGCCAGGCCTGATGGGGGTGGGGTGGGAGGCAGCCCTGGGCCTGTTCCCACCTTATTGTTGTGGGTCTGCTTTCAGGATTGAAAAGCCTGGGGCTATGCCAGGCCAGGTATGCCCTGATTTGCAGCTATGGCCCCCACAGGGGCTGTGTCTGAGATGCCTGGGTGGTGGTGTCAGCTGTGCCACCCCTGCCCCAACCAGAATCTGCCCAACTCTTTAAGTCCTCACCTCCCTTGAGCCATGGAGGTGTTGGAGGGAAAGGGTCTACTTGAGGGGTGCCCCTTGGAGCCCAGAATGAGGTAGTATCTCCTGGCCCCTGCCCAAGGAGGATGGTGAGCACTGAGGGAAACTCCTGGGGGTGCTAGGTGTCAGGCAGACTGTGTCTCCCCCACTCCTTGGCTGGCAGAGCTTGGGAGACAGACCCAGAAGGCAGGGCTGCAATCCCTTTCTCTCTGGCCAGAACCGCTCCCGTCCCAAACCTGGCCTAGCACCTTGTGAATGCTCTGCTGGGAAGACAAGCTGTGTCTCACATGGGCTCCTACTGGGGAGGTGTGGGGAAGAGGGATCCTGCAGCCCCACTGACCCCTCCCTGGTCCTTTAATAATTATGAGTGCACATGTGTGGAGTCAGGTGGGCACAGGTGCACCCTGGGCCCCTCCTCACTGTACCCTGGGAGGAAGTAGACACAGGAGGCCAGTGTAGAGCCTGTCCTTTATAGATCTCTGCCTGTCTTGTCCATTTGTATATATATATGTATATATACACACATACATATATATATATGTATACATATAGCTATATGTTTATTTCTATGGAGGGGGAAAGGAGGACTCATGTAAAAACCAAAAATACAATTTGTGAAAGCCCACAGTATTGGTCAATTCGGCGTGGCTGTGAAGCCCCAAGCAAGTCATGTCATGCGGGGCTGGGGCCCTCACTGCTGACAGAGGCCAACTGGCCCTCCTCATGGGTCCTCTAGGAGACAGTTGGGTCCTTGGCTTTGGGGGGCTCGGAGCCTGTCAGCAGGGAGATGGTGGGGTCGTCTGCATAGTCATCCCCCTCTGAGAAGTAGGAGCCCTCCCCTAGCTCAAAGAGCACAGGCAGGTCGCTGCTCCCCATGTCCATGGGGCCTGGGTCCATCAGGAACAGGGGTTGTGCCGTGTAGTGCACCAGCTGTTTTCCTGGGGGGTGGGACCAGGTTAGGGTGCTGGCAGGAGGGGACTGGAGGGGATGGGGGGACAGGCAGGTGGGGCTTGCTCACCTGAGTCAGGGCTACTGTTCTCTGCCTCAAGAGACCTGGGGGGATCCTGGGGAGAAAGGAGCTCCTGGATCTGCTGGGACAGGAGGGCAGTAAGGGTTCCTGCTTGTCCCGCTCATCACCTCCCCTCACCCCCCTCACCCCTCACTCTACACACACTGGCCAGGCTGCTGTCCAGGTCGGGCAGGTTCATGTCTGGCACTGTCACCGAGGGGCTGAACAGCTGCAAGAGAGGAGGAGAGTCAAGCGGTGCTTATGAGCAGGGTGGGAGGGGGACGGGGGCAGGACTCACATCTAGCAGGGCACTGGTGTCCACGCTGAAGCCGTGGCTTGTCAGCATGGTCTGAAGGTTGTCCAGGTTGGAGTCCATGGTGTCCAAGTGCTCACTGAGCTCGGCCCTAGCCAGAGTGAGTGGGGTAGCTGAGGCACTGCCCCAGACACCCCCACCCAGACACCTTCCCCTGTAGCCACTATCCGCCTGCCAGAGGGTTCCCCTCAGCCACACCCATCCCTGCTTGGGGCCATAGGGGCAGTGTGTATGTGTGTGGACAGGGCCTGGAAGCCTAGCCACTGGGGGGAGAGTGGCTTGGGCCATGCTGGCTGAGATCCTGTCACTGCCAGGCCCTGTAAGGCCTCTGGCAGCACTTAAAGCTGCCCAAAAGGGTTCGGTGCTCAGAACAGGCTGAGGGCAGTTTTTCAGGCTTGGGGAGGTCTTGCCTTTGCACTGGAAGATAGTAGGGATGGGGAAGGGAGCTGTGCTCAGTGTGTGGTGGGCTGGTCTCTCCCCTGGTGCATGTGGGAAAGACACCCAGGTCTGGTGGCTGTGACTGAGAATGTCCTGGGCCATGGGGCGCACCTGTGACATTGTCTGAGTGTCCAGGCCGGCTCCTGGAGGTTCCCATGGGGCCAGCCCCACATGGAGAAAAAGCCAGTCTGTATAGCAGTAGGGACCCTGACCATAATAACAGCCATGCCAGGCTGGGAGACCTCTCCCTGTCAGTCAGTGACTTGGGGCACTGGCCTGGGCCCCAGAGTCTGGGGGAACCATGCCCCCTGCAGAGGGCCCAGGACACCTGTTCACCAGGCAGGACCAAGTGGTCCACTGCTGGGGAGGGGCCCGAGCTCTGGCAGAGCCCTCCTCCCTCCCCATGGGGGACAGCGCTAACCCTGGCTGGAATCGGCCATGCAGAGAGGAGGAGGGGTAAGGGAAGAGGCGGGCGACCCCAGACATCTGTGGAGTGCGAGCCAAACTGCAAGATACAAAGACAAGAGCCCCCATTGCAGGCAGGGGCCCGGCGGGTGCCGTAACCCCTGCCCTTATGCACCCGGCTTCTGGGGGCAGGGCCTCTGCTGGGCAGCAGGACCAGGTGACAGCTGCAGCCAGGGTGGCCCAGAGAGCAGGTGCAACAGATCACACCACCCTTGACTCCTGCAGTGAAAAGGCTGTGAGGCAGCCTGGTTGGTCTCCACCTCCCTCCCCAAACCAAAGCTCTGAGCTCAAGACCAAGTCTGTAGAGCCTGTACTCAGCCCTCCAGGACAGTCCTAGCTAGAGGTCCAGGCTGTGGTGAAGGGCAGCACTCACTTGTCCAGGCAGGCTACGCTGAGGCACTTCTCAGGGGCCGAGGAGGTGGGTGGGGTGGAGGGAGGCTGGGCCTCCGCATCTGTGAGGGGTGTGGCTGAGGCAGTGGGGGCAGGCTCACTCTCCCCCAGAATGGAGTCAATGAGGGCAGCTGGGGACAGGGGAGTCTCCACAACTGAGGACAGGCGCCTGGGACTCGCCTCCTCCACCTGGGGGCTCCGAGGAGGACTAGGAGGTTCTTCCTTGACTCGCACCAGGGGGCTGCTCGACAAGGACCTGCAGGTGGGGGGACACACATTAGCAGGCACCTCGGTGGAACAAAGCCCTCTTCTGACCACCTGGGAGATGATGTGGTCCCCACCGCTCATCTATGCTCCTGGAGGGGGAGGCCAAGGGGCTGCCGGGAGCCAACTCAGTGATGTCAGAGATGATGGGTCCGGAGCTGGAAATGGTATCTGGGGAGTAGAGGCTGGAGCTGCTGTAGGCCGGAGATGGAGCCTGCCATCAAAGGAGGTGACACATGTGGCTGGTGCTGAGGCAGCACCCATCCCACCCAGCCAGGCCCACTGGGCCTAGAGCTTACCGAGTAAGGACCAGAGCCTTGGATGGGCTCCAGGGAATACTGCCGGCTGTACTTGGGCAAGGAATGTGCTGAGCCACTGTCATTCAGCATCAGGGGGCTGTGGGGAAGGGTGGGGTTAGCTGCCTCCTGGCCCTGGTGGCACCCGTGACCCAGTTCTGAGGATTGGGCACCCACAACGCCTCACATCTTTCTCTTCACCCCCAGGATCCGATTCGACTGCACCAGCGAGATGAGAAACTGGATAAGCTGTGGGGGGAAAAGCACAGTTAGCAGAGCTGAGGATGGGGACCACTGGTGCTCTGCTGGCCCGCCTCATACCTTGTTGACGACTTTCTGCTGCTGGGCGTGCTTCTGCCGCAGGCTGGCCACCTCCCGCCATAGGGCCTCATTCTCGCTGCAACAGACCAGGGTGCAGTTGGTGGGGCCAGATTCCAGGAGCACCAGGTTGGAGGGGCTTCACAAACACACCACCCCAACCTGGGCAGGTGCAGGGCTGTTGGTGACCACATATTGCTAGGTTGTCCCCACTATGGACAAGGACTGGCTATGTGATAGGACTAGGGTGCAGGCCAGGGCTTGCTGGCACTACCACCCTTAGAACCTGAAAGCAGCTCAGAGGTGGCCTCAGAGAATGGTCACTGGAGCATATCCCCCCAACCAGGTGAGCGGGGCTGTGAGCAGGTCTGCCCTTCTGGTAAGGAAGCCCTG